GTTACCATATTCCAAAGATTAGCCGATTGTGCCTGTTGTTGAGACCAGAGACTTGAGCACCATACAGAGGAGACAGTATGACTTCCCTCCATTCTCCACCCTCCAGTTTTGATGAGGAGCACCCAGGTGGGTGGGTGAGAGTGTTTTCCACCGCTCTTCACCTACCACCAACCTCTCAAGAGGACTTTCAGCTCAACATATATTAAGAGTGCCCCCATGCCTCAAAGACATTATACATTTACAAATATCCATCCTTTTCCAGGATTTGAAACAGGGCCCTTCGGTGCCAGTAGGCTTCCTTAACCACTATACTGTCTGGGCGTCGAAGCAAATATTTATTGATGCTCTGTGTGAAAATTTAAATGTTATAAGAAACATACTGACCTTAATGAAGTAGTAAAAGAGTGTTGATAATCATAAACTTGTATAGCTACAAAGCAGATTTATGCATGCATATTGGATGCTAAGCTAAATTATTAGCCAAACCCAATGTGCTCTCTGTTATCCAGGGTAACGCTGAGGAAGCAGGTCAAATAAAAGAAAAATGTGGATCATCCAAACTAATACATTTTCTTGCACATTGTAGTCTTTATTTGGTACTTACGTATTATCGCAACCAGGTTGACGCTATTTGTAAGTTTGAGTAAAAAAGTATGAATAGAAAGAAAATGTACATTTATTAATTACAGATAATTTTTAATACAGTTTTTTAAATTATTTTGTTTTAAAATATAAAATAGCAATTAAAAACCCTTCCGGTTTCGAATTTGAATAAGTTGCAGAATTATTTTTCGGCGGAAATCTTTTGGCTATTGCTTTTAGCACTGATTAAAAACCGTATTCACCATAATCATGTACACGTCGACTTATTTTTACTTAAAAAAACATCCCAGAATTGCACAAAAATGGCATTGCGCACACTCTTCACTTTATCCATGTACACTGCTATTTTCTCATAAATTACAAAAATTTGTACGAAAATGCAGGAAAATTTTGTGAATCTCCACATGCTCTTTTTACAAAACTACATATAACACGTAGGGTTGCTAAATTTCGCAATTTATGCGAATTTTGGCCTGGTTGCGTTAATACGTAAGTACCCTTTATTTCATAAAATTTTACTTTGTTTTTGAGAGCGTTTGAATATTTTTCAAAATTCAGTGTGTATTTTTTGAAGTACTCTTTTATTATTATATTCAAATCTGCTTTGGTTGACGAAGTGCAATAGACTTTCAGAAGTCATTACTGTATTGGAACTAATGTAATTTTCAGTAATGCTCTCTGCCTCTTCTGTGCTTGTGACATTTGAAACTATATCTACATCACTCAAGCACTGAAAGCTTGGTTCAGCCAAATCACGATCAGGCCATTCCTTGATGGTTTCCCAGTCAATATTTTCACTTAAAAATTTTTTGGCATACAAATTCAATTATTGTCTCAACTTATTCACAATTAGATAAATCTTTACAATATTAGAAAAAATCTTTTTCCATAATCAAATAAGTTTTTTCCCTTGTTTTTTTTTGGGGGGGGAGGGGCTTTTGATGAAGTTTTTGTTACTCCATATATGGCATCCAATGCAGTCAACTTTTTCCAGAACTAGATTAAATCATCATCTTCCTCATGCAGAACAAATTGTATATGATAATTGTTGAAGGTTGTCAGCAATTTTTAGAGCATGCTCAATCTTGTAGAGTCTGTTTTTTTACAAATGCATGCATATGGGTACTGCCATATATGGATTATCCACAAAGTGGATAATTGAGAATACACCTATAAGTGTAAATGAAAATGATGAAAATGCAAGTATATCAGCAGTTGCCTGTAGCTAGGGATTTCAGCGCCCGGGTACAACTGAAGATTTTGCACCCCTCACTGTGTACCAAGGATGAGAAACATTTCATTCTAAAATTTTGTAACATCAGTTTGCTGCCCCATGAATGCTACGCCCAGACAGTCTCCCCTTGTCCCACCCTAGCTACGCCACTGTATTTTAGTAAAGTTATAGAACAACACATTTTAATGACAGAGTATTATGTGCAAATTCACTACAATAAATATTGTAATAAGCTGTGATGCTTCCTTATGATGTATTCAATAGATTTTTGGCCACAATCATATATATATATTGAATAAGTGCCGAATGGGATGTTCACATTTTCAAAGTTGGATTACTAATCAACATGCATGCCAATTTTGAGAAGAACAGAGAATGCTTAAATTTAACATCTTAGATGGGCATTATCTAGATTAGTGACCTGTAAAACTTTACAAATATTTTGCATTTTGGGTTGGAAATCACTTCAAGGAATATCAAAATGGCCTTTTAGTTTAATCCTTAGAGACAAGGATATCATTTGTCAAATGATAAACCAGTGAGGAATTTTATTAACAGTGCAAAAACTAGTATATGATAAAAAAATAGGTTGATTGGATTAATATGCACGGTTAATTGGAATTATAATATGCAAGTACCCAAAGTACAATTTTTCAGTAAAAATTCAGCTCTACCAGTGGCTGATTGCTTAATACTGGTAATTTGACTCAACTGAAATGAATGATCATGGTTGGTTTTCAAGGGATTCTCATGTGTAATGTGATTATGAGTTCATTTCCCTTAAATAGTCCTCCATGATGGCATAGGCATAAAGTCCTCCACAAAGGCTTCCTTAGGTAGGTTAGTCCTCACGTGCTTTGCCATATTTGAATAACCTAACTCTAATCAAATTCAAAGTTCAAAAGTTATTTAAAACTTAAGAAATTAATTTGAAATACTCTTAAGGATGTATTAGTTTGTACAATAGTAGTTATATCATGTTTAAAACAATATGACTCAAAAACTGGAGAAAGAATAGTATTCATAGCAAGTGAAAATAAAAGTTACAGCTCTTAAAAATGCATCACAAATGCTATTTACCGTATTTGACGGCGTATAAGACGCACTTTTTTTCCTAAATTTGGTCTCAAAAACGTTACCTGCGTCTTATACATGAGGGTAATTGCATTCAATAATTGTTTCTTTGGCTTTTATGAAACGTGAGAACTAAAAGAAACCACGTTATTGAAACTTTTTTTCTTGTGTTTGGCCGTCTAAATAAGGGTGCATCTTCTATGCCGTCAGATACGGTAATTGTTTTTCACAGTGACAATTGTTTATTTCTCAAGGCCAAGGTTTTTTGGAGACAGTATTTAATGTGTTTGCAAGCAGTGAGGTACAGTTCGACTGGAATGTTGTTGAATTTCTCAGTGATTGCTTTAAAGATTTTGCCATATTGTTAATGTAGATTTTATCCTTAATCTACCCCAATCAATATAATGGTTAGCGCTAATATCTGCTGTATCACTGCTAGTGCCGTCTTAACAAGAATTGGACTCCTGCACAAACCAGTTTACTATGACCCCCCACAACAAAAATTAACTGTAAATAAAACATAAATGGATTAACAGGAGGTCTTTGGTCAACTGCCCATTGGGTTGAGGCATTAAGGTAGCCCTGATCATTGAGTTCAGGTTCAAATCTCGGAGAAGGCACGGATGTTTGTAAGTATATAATGTCAGTGTGGCATTAGGGCATTTAAAATATATGATGAGCCAAAACTCTTTTCAAGTGGTTTGAAGGTAGGGAAAGGGGCAGATCATAGGTTCTGTTTTTCCAAGATTTCTCTTCAAAACTGGAATAGACCTTAGTCAGTCAGACAGACCTTATATAGTCATTATATCACTTATATAGTCATTATATCACTTATATAGCATGTAAGGTCTATGCCAACGACAGATACAGTCTTGCACTCCTTGTCATGATGAAGTTCATGCACTTGTTCTGCTTAGATCAACCACAGCAACAACATCCTTAAGATTTCCTCAAAGGAAGAAATCTGTCGCTATCTGGTCAGAGGATTGAGTAAGATATTTAACTCACTCACAATTTTTTTTCATGCATGTGTGTGAATAGCATTTTTTTAACACTGCTATGTTGTTTTATATAGTATATATATATACATACACATATTTGTTAATTACTTCTGCATTACCTATTATTACCTTTCCTAGCAATTTTTTTAAATATAGCTGTGTTGTAAATACAGGGTGGTTCAAAATTATATGTCAAAAATGTATGAGCAGGTAGAGGGGACCTGAATAAGCAGATTTCATGTAGGAATATGTGCACAGTAATGCCACATTAAAGCATTAGCATGTAAAGCAATACGAATCATAGGAAACTGAAAACACAGATAAAGAATAAAAATAATAAAAAAAATATTAACAGTTTACAATAGGTGCCCGAAAGAGCGGCCACCAACAGTGATACAAGATTCACAGTGGCGGCGCATGGATCGTCGTACATTAGAAAAGACGTCAGGCATGTCGAGCACATGTCCTGCGGCAACAGACAAGCAGGCAACAAGAACATCTGCAAATGTGATGAGACTCTTGTACACAAGGCTTTTAATATGACCCTGAAAGAAGAAATCCAAGCAGATTAAATCAGGAGAATGCAGAGGCCAGGGAACTGGTCCGCCCCATCCTATCCAGTGCTGGCCGTAGACAGCGTCCAAGTGATTTCTGACATTCCTGGATGCATAAAACGATCCACTCATGATTAACTCCCGATGAAGGTGCTCTTCTACGATTTGGCTGATTCCTATCTGGGAATCGCTCCCTGTACATTCTTTGAGGAGCTAATCCATTTCTTGTGCAGCCCCATACACAAAATGCAAGTCGGGAAGCTCCACATTGGTGTAACAATGCATTTTGCTCGAGATTCATGCGAGAAAGGAAGAATCCAGCTAGCGCAACGCTTTTATATGCTGTACTCATTAGTGCTCTCTGCCGGCTCAATGCGCCATTATCACACACGCATTCCTATACGAAATGCGCTTATTTAGGTCCCCTCTACCTGCCTTACATTTCTGACATAGTTTTGAACCACTCTGTATATATTTTGTTTTAAGTGTTATTTCAATAACAGAAAATTATATAAAGAAATTTCCTCTTTCAAGTTGACACATGGCTCAAGAGGAAAATGAAGAAGATTTTCCTGGACGCCTATTACACCAGGCTGCTTTGTGGGGAAATGCGGAATTGCTGGAAGATCTTCTTCATGGTGAAATGGTAAGTTATGTATGATGTAAGATTTCTAGAGAGTCAACATATAAACAAATTTACTGTTCTGGTGTATCAAAATTTAATATTCTTCTTTGTAACAGGATTGTAAAGATCTCATTAAGTAGAAGAAATCTTTACTGAAGTTTCAGAGGTAATTTTTATGTATGAAGAAAAGTAACAACATGTAAAGAGAGAGAATGCCAAAATTCTGCTTAATGCAAGAAGACTAAATATTACAAAGTCATTCACATAAAACTCACAAAACCATTCACTCTAGCTTAAAATCACTGAATAATAAATTTAAGGTCATATCTCTCTGAAGTGGACTATGTTTCAGCTAACCTGGCCTTCTCACAATGCCCTATTCATATCATTGCATGCTATTGGTTCATACAGAACTCCTTAGCAACTAGAGTAGAGGAACAAGAAGGTGTTTTATTGAGCATTTTTATTTCAGTAAAGTATTTGTTAAAATTTATTAAAGTAAATAACAGTACATGAAGTAAGATAAACAGTTATAAATAGCCTGAGAAAAATTCATTTATAGGACAAAGTCATAATCACTGTGCAGGAACTCCACAAATTTCACATGATTTTGAACTGAATAAGTAAAATGACTGCTCCTCAGAATGTGCCCTATTTATAAGATTTCCCGAGGGGAAGGGAAAGCTTTGAGAAAAATTGCTTTGAAAGGATCAAAAATGCATTTTACAAAAACTTCCAGAATGTCACTAATGTGGCGAGAAATCACCTATTATCACCCATTCAAAGACAATAATTGACATTAGTGTGTGGCCCCTGACCATATCTGTGATTTTAATTAAGCTATCTTTACAGTTCAAACATTTATTTAATTTGGAATTGAAATATTTACAACTTATTGCATGAAATAAACACTTACAAACAAAAGAAGTAGTCATGAATTCTTTTAAACGAAAATACACAAAATTATTACATAAAATGCATTAAATAAACAAGCAAACAAATAAAATTATTGCATAACACTATAAAAAATACATGAAACCCAAATTGCAAACAAACACACAAATTACAAAATTTCAATTTTATCATTACCAATTACCAAAAGATAGCAGGCCGCACTACAAATTCTACATAATTAGTCCTATTGTCTCAAAAATATGTTTTCTGGAAGTTTTCAGAACGTCATCAAATTGGTGAACAGTCGTCAGTTTGGTAACAAGTAATTATTGCTAGAGCTTTATAGTGTAGGATTCTTCAAAGTTGTTCAAATACAGTTGTTTGTATAATTTACAATGGTATAAAAGTTGTGAAAAAAATGAAATTTTATGAAAATTATTTTTTATATATTTATTGATTTTGTTGTAATGAAGTAAAAAATAATCCTTTAAAGAAATTTGTAAATTATTCTCTCCTAGTCTAGTGTGTAAGTTGTGTAATTTTTGGCAAGCTAAAGCACATTAATCATTACTATTATACACATTAATCTATTGTTTTCTATAGAGTTGAAAACTATTAGAAAGTGTTTCAGTAAATTAGTTTATTAAATTTTTATGGTACTTTTATATTATTACGCAACCCTGGTAATTTAAATGGCATCAATATAATCGATAAATCGCCAGTGAATGTTGCAAACTGTCAAATAGGCAGAAGTTTTTAGATCTTTCTTATTTTTTGGCAAATTGAAAATTGTGAAACTAAAAAAAAAAAGACAGAAAATGGTATAGAAATAAAATAACACCTTTATTCAGAGCTCTTTTCATAACAAACTGATGTGTAACGTCGATGCGAGCCAGTTTTTTTTTAGAAAGTCTTCCAGAAAAGCTTCCCTCACTTTAGATAGACCAAATTAAAATCATGACAGATGAACTATAAGTGACTGTAGTTAGGACTGCCAGCAGTTTATTGATTATTTTGTTGGCATTTAAATTACGGGAATTGTAATAATGAGAAAGTATCAATTTTTCCAATAACATAGATTTTTGGATATTAATAGGGTGCTAGTTGTCAAATATGCTCTGAAGCAAAAAAATGTGGTAGCCCATTTATATCGCATCTTGAAGAGCCATGCAATTTTTGATATGTGCAATGCTAAATTTGTGTAATCATTATGCACATTAAACATCGTATATATGTTATATTAAATGATACATTACTGTTATTACAAGTTCTTTTTTTCATGAAAGTTTTACGTATCATTAGGGTTGGTGCCATTTAGTTAGATTTCTCACCTCTCCGTTGCACCTCATTAAGCAGAAAAGTTCAGATTAAAAAAAATATTATGTTCTTATTGATATCCTTCTCCTCCCCCATACTCTCCATGCTTGGAAGCTGTATTGAAATTATTTATTCATAAGAATATAGTTTCTTCGTCTGGCTCCTAGTGACACTGGCTTGTTTTGAATAACTCATAAAATTGACGTTGTAAAATAATGGCAGTATATATTTATATTATATTTTTGGAATTATCTGTAAGTTCATATGTTATGCTTTGTATTAGCACTGATAAAAAACATATTCAAGCATGGCACTTAAAAGTTTTCAGAATAAATCTAAGGATACTATCACATTATTCCCGTAACTGTGACAAAAATCACCAGGCAAGTGCTGTACCATCGAATAGCACTTACCCGATGATATAGGCAAATCAGAATTTTATGAAAATGTATTTTATCTCTCATTGCACTCAATAATTGCAGTCAGGGAATTCTGAGGGTTATCTTTGCGGTTTTTGCTTGTGACAAGTGGGTGTATTTCCTCCCTTTAATTAATCATAATGTGGGAATTCTAAGCAGGTGCTGTTTTTAAATATTTTGTGATTTTGCTCTTGAATTTAAGGTGGCTTAAGTGCAAAGAAAGTGATGATTAATAATTAAACTAAAATGACCCTCCTCCAAAAAACGTGTTAGCAGGAATGGGTCAAAGAGTAGATTGTTAACCTGCAATGCTAAGTAAGAGCATAAATACAACACAAGAGGATTTGTTAAATCCTAATGTCATGAGACATCCTAATGACATGAAAGTCTGAATGCATAAGATATTCTTTAAAATTAAGATCTAATGATGTAGCTTATACTTGGCTTAAAATGTATGCTCGGTGTCAGAGCTGTTTAATTTTTTTTTGTATTGCAATAAACTTTATGCCACTGCTGATGAGACTGTATCTGTTTTATTTAGAATTAATGCTTTAATATTATAATTTGTTAATTTTGAAAAAAATATTTTTTTTCACAATACAGATTAGGTGTTTATAAATTTAGCATGGCTCAAGGCTTGGCAGTGAAGATAAGTTTTTTTTTAAATGTTTTTTTATTTTTTATGTACAGACTTTATTGATGCATGTATTGCTGCATTTTGTACACATTGCATATTAATTTGTAGGAACTTAATTTTATCAAATTTAGGTTTTGGTAACATCTGCTAATTACATTACTAAAGAAGTAATATTTTTGTGTATTGCTGTTTAGACTACAATCTTTCCGTATTTATTCCATTAAGCTTCTTTAATGTAATACTTCATGTTTCTAAGATAATTAAAAAAATATCTGACATAAATGTGGAGGCCGAAATTTTCACGAGGGCTGAAGATTTACGCCAGCAGAACATCTTTACCTACTGCTCAGTAGCGCTCTGCACCACTCTAGTGTGCCGTTTTGGCGCACGCATTCCATTACAAAAACTGCTTACTTTGGTCCCATTTAGTTATGTTGTATTTTTGCCAGATTTGAATCTTATCCGTATCCGTATCTGCGCTAGTATTGCCGGGATATCGCGCAAGGCGCGATGTGTCCGACTCATGAAGCAAGGCCCAGTGTGCACGTGACGATAAAGTATCCTGACAACTCGGTAAAGTCATTAACCCCTTGGGTACATTTGACGTCTGAGACACGTCATTCACTTCCCCCCCCTAGGAGCGGATGATGTGTCTAAGACGTCAAACCAAATATTAAACTCTTGGGTGCATTTGACATCTGAGAGACATCATTCACTTTTTTCCCCTAGGAGCGGATGATTCACATACTTAGCACGAAACGTTCAAATGCTGATTTGATAAACAGGCAAAGGAGAAAAAATGAAAGTGGCGATAGCGAAAATATTATAAAACCGGCATCTCTGCTTGAATATAATAAAGGTATGGGAGGCGTTGATAAACAAAACCAATTGCTAGCGTGCTTCCCATTTATGAGAAAATGTATAAAGGGTTATAAGAAAATGTTTTTTTATCTAATAGATATGGCATTTTATAATACTATTCTTTTATAATACTATTTTATATTCTAAAATCAACTGCACAACCAAGGTAGGCATTACTTCCTTTCGTTTAGCTATTGCCAAAGACTTGCTGGAGCATTGTTATTGCTAATTAAAACGTCGTGGAATCCCTCAAGTAGCCTACAACCATTTCGTTTGGCAGGAAATTGGGCACACTTTCCTGAGACATTCGTCAACTAAGTTCAAGCAACACCCGAAAAAAGTGCGTGTTGTTATAAATATATTAGGAAAGAGACGCGTGGCAGTGCAACAATGCAAAGTAGCCTGAATTACTTGTTTGAAAAATACAACGCTGCATAATATAACTTTTTTTTAGGTTTTGTAGGTGTACTGCCTTACATTCTACTCCAAGCACCGCCAATTATATCCGTCCCATGCAAGATTTCTCATAATCCGTACCCATGGGTTAAGGTGTAAAGAGGATACTATGCGTCACAAAGCATAGAGAGCCTTAGCACAAATAGCCAAATTCAGAGCGTGAGGTACACTGTGGTGTATGTTGCGTTGATGCAGTGATAACAGGACAATCAGACAGTGATACAAAATAATATAAGATACATTGAAAGTAGCAAAATAATCTAAGCTATGTACATAACGCGTATATGCACAATAAATAAAATCAATTACAATGAATATAAGTCACAATATGAAAATAGTAATAAAGTCTAACATATATACAAGGGTGAGGTACTAAGTAGGTGTTAACATAGAAAATGCCGTGGTTCGCAAAACAAATATTTATTACTGAGATATGCAGAGATACACGCAGAGTTACGTGCAAGGATACAAGCAAGCAGAGAATAAGTAGAAGCAGCGATAAGCGGTTACAGAGGTCATATATATAACTTTATAACAGAATCATGGTTTAACAAATCATAAGCAAGACACAATAAATAACCAATAAAAAATAACAGAGAATGGGATTACGTTTCAGAATAATTCGGATCTGGCTGAAAGCTAATGAATGTATCGGACGTGACAGAAAGCTATACTTTTATTAACCATTAAGAATGCGATTACAAACATCTCAACAGTCGGAAAATCCCGAGTGAGGTGGGCCGCGAGCGATCTATAAATGGAATCCGCCTCTAGAACAATATATTTAAACACATTAAGGTCTCCCATGTGCCTATAGTGTTGTGCTTTTTTGAAGAAGTTTGCATTCATTCTGTGCAAATACTCTTCTACTGTCTCAAGTTTCAAGTCCTTGTGAAGCGTCTGATTCGATACAAAGTAATGCGCTCTGGTCATCCTGAGCAGTTTTTTGCGTACTTGCAATTTATGAGTTCTCTTTTATGAACGAAGCCCGGCAGTGACGCGTATGCAAAATGGACGAATGACGAGATGTAAATATGTCTTTTGCGTCCTAAGTCCACTTTGAGTCTGGGGAGAAGAGGTGTGAGCATGAATTACCCCTAACATCTTACTCTGGCTAATTTTATGTGCTCTCCACGAAAGTTGGAGCTAATTGATCCGAGGCACGTGGCCTTGTTAACACCGGCACGACATACCAATATGACACTTTTAGCAAGGGTCTTCATTCCTCTTCTTTGATAAATAGTTAGATTTCTCGGCATTTATGGCGATCCTCCATTTGGAGCACAGACTCTGTAGTTTAGTGATTACGAAATTAGGTGATGCAGACTTGACAGCAAGCGCCGTATCGTCCGCATAACAGCCCATAAAACAGTTATGATCCAAGCTTTCTGTAGGCAAGTCAGCCACGTAAAACAAATACAAGATGGGCCCTAAACTGGACCACTGTGGGACGCCGGCCATCACTTTCTTGTAGTCAGAGGAGTCTTTACCCATGTGCACGAAGAAAGTCCGATTCGTAAGAAAGGAGTTAATTATCCGAATCAGCTCTCTACTGAAGTTAAGTTCTATAAGCTTGTAAATAAGCCCCTCATGCCAGACGCTGTCTAATGCTTTCGCCACGTCCAGCATGAGTAAGGCAACACATCCCTTGTGGTGCAGCGCGCTGCCAAAAAATTCATTTAGCCGTACCAATTGTTTGGTGGTGGAGAGGGCTTTCTTAAAACCAAATTGCTCCATAGGAAGTTTATCGAGATGAGGCTGTAAAGGGATGGTGCACACGTCCCCCGTTAACTGTTAACTGAGCTCTAAAATCTTGCCCATACTGGGAAGCAGACTGATGGGCCTGTACCCTTCAGGTTTTGTCCGGTCTTTTCCCGGACAATCATTTTGGCAGTTTTCCATGACTCGGGAAAGTAACTGTGATAGAGGCATGCGTTTAGGATGCCCGTGAACCTTGAAATAATATTTAAGGGAAGACACTTGAGCGCGAAATTATTAATGTTATCAAAAACCAGGCGCCTTCCTGTTCCGTAGTTTCTTAACGATATCCAAAATTTCTCGGAGCGAGGTGAGCCCAAGATGATTTTGCTTAGGAGAAGCCACTAGTCCAATCAGAGACATAGGAGCTGACCTTTGTCCAAAACTCTGGATTGCTAAGGGGGTTGACTCAGGAGACGTCCTGGGAAGCACTGGTTAGG